GAAACTGTGAAATGAATGATGCGAACAGATACATGAAACCAGATGCACTAAGATACAAATATGGAGTGGTGTATTACGATCTTGGGCGAGAGTACTCTTTGTCTGATGTAAGTGGAAGCTAACCAAATTAGCCTCCCTAACTCCCTGCAAATAGATTTCTTTTCTAACTTATTATATCCAATATATCCTCATGAACTTTGTAATGGGACAACTGAGCTCCAAAAGGTCTATTTTCAAACAATGGCTACTGTTAAACAGTTTTCTCCCAAGGATGGTTTTGAGCTACATGAGAATGGACGAAAATGACTCCATATTAAAGGTTCCTCACCTGCGATCGCGGGCGATCTTTGAATAAACCTGGAGGCCCTGTTCTTAGTCATTATTACATATAGCTTATCAGTACGTAAAGAAGATCTTTCATAAAAAAAAACACACACATTTTTATTTCTCGGCAAACATGGTACATCACTCCTGCAAACCTTATCATTGATAGATCTTTTTTCATTTTGTTATAATTAGAATGGAAGACATTTTTCCCATGAAAATTACCACTGTATTAACAGATGTTGCAAGGACAATCCTTGTCTCCAGGGTGGGACCTGTCAGGAGATTTGTAATCCTACCACCGTGAGGTACAACTGCACTTGTCCTGCAAATTACACTGGTCAGCGGTGCGAGAAAATAAAGTATCCTCGTGAATGTATGGAAGTTGCAAAAAATGGCAATAACGTGTCTGGAATGTTCGATGTGTATGATTCCCAGAAAAATATTTTTAAAGTCTTCTGCGACTTTGAGTCTGAACCCGGCTATGTTTGGACACTAATACAATCTTTTTCTCTCGGAAACAACAACCAGTTTAAGTCAAACGGTTTTAGTGTGGACCATCCTGTAAATGAAGAGGGGAACACCATAAATTGGAATGCATATCGCTTATCTTTGGCTCATATGAAGTCAGTCGCTGATGCTTCAACCCACCTCAGAGTCACTTGCAACTTTCCAGCTGATGGTCTCGTTTACACTGACTACGCACGTGCAAAACTGAAAGAACATGATCTGTTTGGTGTATGGAGAGCAAAGTGTCGCACATATGAACTGATCAACATACGGAACATTGTTTGTCAAGAATGCACAGCTGGCACATGGCAAGTACAGAACGAGATGTGGCATATTAATAGTGCATTGAGCGCCCAATTGGCTGGATGCCAGTTCAACGGCGTTGCCGGCGCAAGTCCACATGAACAAAACTTTGGTCTTTACAACTACGTCAATCCAAACTTCCGATGTACTTCCAGTCAAAGCTCCACCACACAACATTGGATTAGAAATTAAGTAAAATAATGAAGACTCCTGTCTCAATATTCCACCCTTAACAAGCATCGCAGTTTCTATTTACGAACTCAAAAAACTAAACGAGTGAGGGCTCTACTTAGTTTATCAGGATAAAAGTTCTTCTTATGAAGCATTAGTTGTTAAGAATGGAAATAACACATTAGCTAACCAAAGACTTGCAAAAATGTTAAGTACCGTGTTTCGACCAATGAGGAATGGAAACGTACCTGCATGCATTGCCGAGTTATTGACTACACGCAATTCTAATTATAATTAACGTGGTGACGCTTTTTCAAAATTACCTAAAGTTGATTGGACAAAGTATGGGATTAAGTCGTGGAAATATCAAGCTCCCCGCTTATGGAACACTAGTCTTACTAATTTGAGAAATAGATACCTATCGCAGTTTTAAACGTGAACTCAAGGAGCTCGACCTTGCAGGTTTATAGCTCCTTATTTTTTGTATTTAACTTAGCTTTCTTAGTATATAAGCATTATAGTTTTATAATTGTAGTTTGTATATACTGTATCATTTTGAACACTTTAAAGGCAAGGCAATCTCTCATCGCAATTTATTCTTGTTTTTAAAAACTAACGTTAATAGTTCTATTAATTTAGGCAGTTCTATAATACTAAATCATTTTAAACACTTACATAGCTTCTAAGTTGATTTACTTATCTTTTCTTTCGTGACTGACCTGTAAAGTAGCTTTATATAGCTAAGTGTTAGCCACCGCGTTAAATTTTCATAAAGTCTGTTATTGACCAAGATATAGAGCTTTTTAATTCATTACAGGCTACAGGGATTTATCGAACGCAACGTTGATACACGATACGCTGCTAGGTTTATAGGGAGCACAGGGTCAGACAATCACACAGCATTTATAATTATTATTAATTGAACCAGCACTTTTATTCGGAGGGGAAGTATTTCAGCGGTCATTTGAGACGTTATTGGATAAACGAGTGAGGTAGTCTGCCTCAGAATTGAATACTTTTAAAAGATATGCAATGTAATGTTTGTATAGTATTAAATATATTAATCAGTAGTTTCACTAGCAACCTTTGTAGCTTCCCTTGGTGTTGATGTGTGGGATCCCATGAAAATGGGTTCCCACTCCACCGATGAGCAATCTAGTGATCAGTGGGTAAAAAAGGAACAAAGCGTGTGCAAGGGTGGGGATGAGTGTGCAAAATGAACATAAAAGTTAGGTGTTAAAATTGAGGGAGCGACCTCTGTAACAACAGCACGCTCCTAAACTCAATATAAAATTGTATTAAATATATGTTATATATTATTAAAATAAAAAATCAAATCAAAATAAAATAAAATAAAATGAAATTAAAATATGATATGAGCAACTATTAGAAAGAGGGGGCGAAGCATTTAGGGTTTAGGGTTAAATTGCTAATGTTATATTAGTGTTTTGGTTATAGTTAGGGTTAGAGTTATATTAGGGTTAGGGTTGGTGTTAGGGTTGGGGTTAGGGTTAGATTAGGTTTTAGGGTTAGGGTTAGTGCTAGATTAGGGTTGGGTTTAGGGTTAGGGTTAGGGTTTGGGTTGGGTAAAGGTTAGTCATAGGTGAGGGTTTGCTTAGGGTTTGTGGAATGGGGTCTCATTTTTTGAGTGTAGGAAGGGAAAAGGGGTTATTGAATAGGATAGGAAAATAGGATTATTGATAAAAATAAAGTATTCTCCTTTTAGAATGATTTCTATGGACAGGTGACTGTAGGAATGGGAAGCATATAGGTAGAAGAGGAGCAGTGTTGATTTCTATTGCTCTCTTGATAAGTGGCTGCAGGGGATGTGATGAAGAAGTGTGGTAGGCTTTTCAAATTATAGATGACATATAAAGAGAACGTGAGCTAGTTAACACTTTTCCTGCGAGTTTATGGTGAAGGGTTATGTTAAAATGTTTTGGGGTGGGGTGGGCTAAGGGTCAAAATGTTAAGTACCGTGTTTCGAGCAATCTGGAATGGAAACGTACCTGCATGCATTGTCGAGTTATTGACTACACGCAATTCTAATTCTAATTAACGTGGTGATGCTTTTTCAACATTACCTAAAGTTAATTCGACAAAGTATGGGATTAAGTCGTGGAAATATCAAGCTCCCCGCCTATGGAACACTATTCTTAATAATTTAAGAAATATGGATACTTATCGCCGGTTTAAACGTGAACTCAAGGAGCTCGACCTTGCAGGTTTATAGCTCCTTAATTTTTTGTATTTAACTGAGCTTTCTTAGTATATAAGCATTATAATTTTATAATTGTAGTTTGTATATACTATATCATTTTGAACACTTTAAAGGCAAGGAGATCTCTCATCGCAATTTATTCTTGTTTTTATAAGTTAATAGTTCTATCAATTTAGGCAGTTCCATAATACTAAATAATTTTAAACACTTACATAGCTTCTAAGTTGATTTACTTATCTTTTCTTTCATGACGGACCTGTAAAGTAGCTTTATATAGCTAAGTGTTAGCCACGTTAAATAAAGTATGTATGCATGTATGTATGTATGTATGTATGGTATGTATGTATGTATGTATGTACGAACCAAAGCCTTCTTATGACTTCAGCGAGAGAGGATGAAACCAGAGAAGTGACGCATTGTCTCTCTCTGGTCTCATCTTTCTTCATGCTTCCAATGTTTTGATTTCGTATTTTT